GTTTGTTCGAACAAGTTTCCATGAGTCAGTGCACTACAGTAACACACTCTGTGGATCGCATCACAATTTTATTATAACAATTTAGAAAGTTTTTAAATCTCTATAGTTATTAATTAAGTCGATTATTACCACAGCTCTTAAAATTCATGCAATTTTCCTTAAGATTATTTGTACCATACTAAAACAAATTGGCTACGTAGTAATATTTCTATTCGCGTGTGTGTAGTAAATATTCAATACCATAAATTTATTTTTTTATAGACGTGAACAACTTAGTTTCTTTTAAATTGCTTATACTTAATGGTTCTATAAATCAAGTAAAAAAATTCGTATATGTATTGGACAATACTTCAGAATTACCACACAAACTATAAGCTTATCGTATAAGAGTTGGCAAAAGAAAGCCATAAAATAGAAAAGTCGATAAATTACAATTTAAGAAAATACTTGGAAAAGTAATGGTTAGAAGCAAATTATAGTCAAATCAACTGTGGTATGTAGGGTAGGTTGGGGCACAAAGGTCCAATTTGATTTTTAGCAATTATACTGTGAAAATCAAACCAATTGCGTTACAACTAGGATTTGTCGGTTTTCAAAAACCGGTTTTTTGGTGAAAATTATGAAATTCGAAATCCGTTTTTTTAGTAGAAAAAGTCTTTAGTAGGAAAATGACAAATATAGCCAAATGTAAAAGATAAATAATTTGAAAATTCGAATAGAAGAAAACGGAAAATATATTGCCACAATTTGAAATGAGAATCACATAAAAAATTTAATACAACAACTTTATGAATATATTTCAAAAACATTTAATTTGTATCATTAGCAGACGTCCAATTACTGGATTGGCATTCCATTCCATTTTTCCGTTGGAAAAAAATTTGCAGATATGTCATAATGATATTAATAGTACAAATTAAATTTGTATTGGATTTAAAGCCAAAAACTGACCTAACGATTTTAAAGTTGACAATTACATTGATTATCTATTTGAAACAATTAGCAATCTATTGCAAATCTATATTTCAAATAATGAATATCTATTTATAATTCTTACTATCAGTATTATATAAATAAATATTAGTTCTAAATGTGAAATATAGTGTATTCCACGCCATGCATCATCAGTGTCAACATTAACGTATATGTATTTATCATATTTTTAATCAAACTGACTAAAAATATCATTATCTATACTAGAATACAGCTACTTGATGCGATTTTCGGTAATATATAGCCGTAATAAATTATAAGCGAAGATATACCACGAATATTAGCATCTTAGTGCTCGCGCGATTTGATTAATTCGCGCGTTGAGTTCAACCGCGATTTCGGGACTTAACATTTTTATATAATATACGACGAAATATATACATATAAACCGATACGTATTCGGGAGAATAATAATAATTGTGCAGGAAGAGCAGAGCCGGATTTAAAAAAATCTTGGTGTGACTATACAGAAAATAGCATCTAGACTCATGAGAATTTTTTTTACTAGTCATAAAAGATATTTTTGTAAAATGTATTAAAAACTAGCGAGCCGGGCAAACTTCGTTCGTTTGGTGATTAAAAGTTGAAAAAAAAATTGCCTGCTGTTGAAATTGAATAAAAAAAATTGCACAATATACGTGATTGATTTAATGGTTTCCAATTGGAATACGAAACAAATAACTTATTTTTTTACTTTTTGTGCATAATTTCACAGTGAACACAATGCCGGTTTGTCACATAAAATTAACTGAGCAGATAACAATGAATAGCCAAATAAATGAGTAGCAGTCAAACAAAAAATATTAGTTTGTAGTGCATGCTAAGTATCAGAGATGACGCTGCATGTGAAAAACGATTTTTCCGCTTTTCTGGCTTTTTTTTCAATTTTCCGCCCCCCTCTTTATTAGATTTCAATCAGAATTATTCGAATCAATCACTTAGAGATTTATTCATTTTAGTAGCATTTTATTAAAAAAATTACTAGATTTGCACAATATTGTTGTTGCTGTGTGCAATCTAGTTTTTAACTAGTAGTGCTCTCTATCTATTTTATAATTGTTAAAAATTATTTCAATTAAACTTTTTTTCATGGGTCTTTAATATTTCAAGGAACTCGTCTTGCCTATCAACTTTCTCCTCATATGAAGTTTTAACAAAATCGAAGACGAATGGACCTAATGTTTTCCTTGTAAAACAATTTTTTTATTCTAGTCGGAATTATTTTATAATGTAATAACCGACATAAGAAATTTTTAAAAAAGACTATGGGTAGCAAATATTTATCATAACAGTGATTTAATAATATAAATGATATCTTAAGGTTTTATTCCTGATTCACCTCTTAGCATTTCAACGGCAAAAAATCACATCTTATCATTAGAAAATGCGAACAGGAAAATCCTATGAAAGATTGCCTCAGATCAATCTTCGAAAATAATAATATCACAAAACATCAAGTGATGTACCGAACTGAACTGACTCGCTCCATGTATTACACACAAATGAATATATTTTATATATTCATACACAAATATATTTTATATACACATGCATATTTAAAACATTGGTAGGGTGGCTGGTAGTCAAATCGCAATAGAAGATATGGGACAAATAAAATAGTAGTATATGGACAGTACTGTACACCTTTTTTTTGAGTATTTTGCTTCTATAAATTTCAAATCTGCACCTAAAAAAATTTTGGTGTTTGAAATGACTTTACAGATAGGGAAGACTGGGTACGGTTGTGCCAGGGTACAGTAGTGATAGTCGTCATAACAGCTAAACTATACTGATGTAGGTAAAGCTATACGGATGTAGGTAAAGTATGTTTGTTCGAACAAGTTTACATTATTGCTTTCAGTCGCTTTGATTTTGAAGATCAGTCTTCATGTTCGAATTCTTCTAATAATAATTTACTTGTATAGAGGTAGATCACTCTGTAAATCTAAACAAAAAATAGTTTTATATCGTTAATGACCAGTGTTCTTTAAGTATTTTTTTTGCATATCTATTAGTATATGGTATTTATTTTTATTAGTATTACCATTACAATTTTGCACCAGCTCTTTACCCAAAAGAGACCTGAATCTCGCTACATATATTTTCTGAACTCTAATGCCATTACGCGTGCCGCCCCGTATTTATGTATTAAGGATGGAGATATTAAAAAATAGAATAAAAATTGCCTGTAATTTATATCGGCCGTCAAATGAGCAATTCAACCCCCAACTTCTCCGATATATACATGTAAATATTCCGCAAATACATGCAAACGAAGATTTCGCAATTAAGATTGTACTTTTTGAAATATTTGCTATCAAGAGTATTTTGGCTCCTATAGCAGAATGAAAAGTTAAAAATATTAGATCATATTAATTACTAGACTCTAACATAATAATTGTAGAATTTTAATAAATTAAGTGCAAACGTCAATAAAACGTCCTTCGGAAAAACGTTTTTTGTTTTTTTTTTTAAAAAAATTATGGGTAGTTGAAAAATTATATATTGAGTTTCGTTGTATGTATATATTTTGTCAATAGTTTTGAATTGTTTATGATTTTTGGATTTATTTTTACGTTGCTAAAGAAGTTGTATTTTGACTTGTTTCACCAATATATATTGAATCACAGTCCATGCAATTAATTTGATAAACCAGATTGTTAGACTTCGATATTGAATTGTTTTTTGTTGTGATAAAACTTGTATTAGTTGTTTATTATTGTTTAATATTACCTGTTTTTTATATTAGCACTATATTATCAGGTAAAATGAAATAAATTAAAATTTAAAAAAACAAGAGTTTTTTTGTCTATCTGACAACTATCCAATAAATAGAGCTATACTATTGTTCAACATTATTTGGCAAGAAAAATGCCAATATTATGCAAAATAAACTGATATGTATTATATAATGAAACACAAGAATTTATAAATACAATATTGCAAAAAAATCGATATGTGATCATTGGTGTTTCATGGTGTAAAGGTTAAGCTCACGGACTGGTGTATTCAAACTCTGCTCTGGACGACCTGGCATCGGGCAGTACCGATGACCATTTTTATTTGAAAATATAGATCCAAAATATGTTTCCAATTGACAATAGCCCAATTCAGGCACTACGGTGTGGAATGGCAATGGGAAATCTCTCACACTATTTTTCCCAGAATACTACCCATCATTATTATAGAACCATTAAAATGAATTTTTTTTTGTTTTTTAATAGCAACTGTCTAAGCCAAGAAAATGACATTTTGCTGTCAAAAATTATTAATGATATTTCATAGAAAATTGGATCAAATTTTGTTTACATTTTTATAAATTCCGTAATCAGTACCAGTTCAAAATTTTCAAAAGTTCTAAATCTAAATAAAATCTAATTTTTCAACAAAGTCAAATTATTTCAAAAAATTCTAAATTTTCAAAAATCTATTTTTTTTCAATGTTTTCAAATAATTTTGAAGTTTTTTTAAAAATTTTAATTTTTGTTACAGAAAATTTCAGAAATTTGCCTTAAGACACGATGCCATGCACCACTAGATTTAATAATTATGTATTTATTTATCAGAAATTTTATTTATATTATTTATTAATTTTATTTTTATTATTATTTGCTTCTATTTTATATTAAATCATCATATTACGGATATTAGTTTTATGTAAATTCTATCCTTTGCACTCTTATTTATTTAAATTTATGTTATTATTTATCATAATTACTTGATGTTAATTATTTAACAGTTGTAATAATTATTGAAATTAAAAAAAAAATATTTATCAAAAAATAAAACAAGTATATTTAACCATTTGTGCAATTAATAGTATATTACATGAAATTTTACATGGAAATCAATATATTTTAAAATTTTATTAGTAAAAACAATTCACAAACTATGAAATTACATTGTAATAATTTGTCGCCGAGGATTCATAAATATTGAAAAAACATTTTCTGACATTAATGATTTTGTAATAATCTAAACAAAAATTTGAAGCTAACAAACAAACATTAAGTTAGTAATTTTCCATTGACTATTTCTAAATGCATTTTCTTCCGAAAATATTCCATATCATTTTGACTAAAGTCGATTTTTGCACCTCTACATATATATTCTGCAAACATACAAGAAAAGACTCCACAGTCATAACCATTCTCTTGCTGAGGTATATCCTTAACAATTTCCTTTGTCCAGGTACTTGTGTCTAGTGGTATTTTTTTCTTATCCAATGACTCGTCTTTCAAATATGATTCCATCATGTCGAGAACACCTTGATCGGAACCATCCAAACTATCATAATACTTTATGCTTTTATGTGTGAAATCAATAATTAGCATACACCAATGGAAACCATTAACATGAACTGGAATCGGCATTAAATCATAAGTAAATATATCCACGTTTTTGGTCCATGTACAAACAGAACTGTAACCATGAGCTTGTAAGCTTAGCAGAAAAAAGGTGTTCATGGCATGCACCTTAAGTTGACCCGGTTCAGTTCCTCGTTGTGTCAATAAATCCATATATAAATTAATTACAGTGTCCTCTAACCAATTTGTTCCATTCAGTGAATCAAGACCAGTGTCAGAAATATTGATTTCAGATTCTTCTATAATTGGTTTGTGGAATGCACAACTCGCAATGGCCCTAATGATTTTTGCATCAACCTCCTCATTCGGTGCCTCTTTCACCAAATAAATGCCTTCCATTATTTCAATAACAACTTCAGGTTGCAACTTGTCATCATTAATTTTTAGTTTTTTCTGTGGACTTCCATCAAATTGTGCATCAGAATTTGGTGTCATTTCCGTATGATCCGTGACTGGTGACACATTTCTTTTTCTTCCAGTTTTATTATTTATGGCTTCAGTTGTATCTCCTTTACCATTTTTGGATGGTTTTGCATTCGGTTCTTTTCGTCCTCTCATCTTTAATACTGCTCTGATCGTTTTCTTCAGGGTTTTGCTTTTGAACTTGCAATTTGAAAAAGATCATAAACAACTAACTTTTTTTAATTTTTCAAGTATACTTAATAATTTTATATCACATAAAGATGTACTAATAAATTTCAAATATAAATTTAGAAAAATATGCCGACCATACTCAAATGCCAATATTACTTTTTTACATGATGGGTTCCATGACGCTTTTGTTTTTGAAAATGATCTAGAACGTCAACGTCTTTTGTTTTTAGTTTTAATACACATTTTTTGGTTTATCCATAATTAGCTAGGTTCCATTAAATTTGGGATTAGTATGAAAATTTAGCATTAGATTATGGAATTTGGTAATATCAGTCGTGCTTGAAGTACATTTATTATCATTGATATATTTTCTATTTTAATGCATGGAATCAGCAACATAGTAGGTGTCTAAATGACAGAACAAAATATAAACCTGTCAATTGAAGTTCAAGTTTTTAGTCTGATTCCGAAATCATGAGAGCCCAAATTTGTTGATAAGATGTAGAAATCTCATTTTGCAGTCTTTGTTGGTGGTCAGGACTACTACCCTTAAATTTATTTTTAATCCATCATTTGTATGTACCTATGTTCCATTAAATTTGGGAGCAGTAGCAAATAATGGAATTTGTTAACATCAGTCGTGCTTGAAGTACATTCAGTAGCATTTATATATTTTTTTATTAAATTTATTTTAATGCATGGAATCAGCATCATAGTAGCTGTCTAAATGACAGAACAAAATATATGTCTGTCAAGTGAAGTTCAAGTTTTTGGTCTGATTCCGAAATGATGAGAGCCCAAATTTGTAGATAGGGTGTAGGAATATCATTTTGTAGTCATTGTTGGTAGCCACACCTGATTTTAAATTTAATTCATCATTTTTAATTTACCTGCATTGATTTTTTATAATTGACAATCTTGCGCATTTGCATTTAAAAAGGATCTAAAGTCCAATCAGGTATATTCATTTTTAATATATATTCAAATAATTCATTAAAATCCGAATGGAGCAACCAAGTACTCATAGTAAGAAATAATGTCATCTTTATTTTATTGTTTCTGATGAATTAGAAAACTGGCTTTTGGAAATATGCGTCTGAATTTAGGCAACAAGGTGTTGACAATGAATAACACAGCTATAAATAAATAACTATAAATTCATTCTGCACCTTCTTTTTTAAATATGCAAAAGAGTATGTACCCTGAAACTGTACTCAATGGGTATTGATAATAATACTACAGACTCACTAACTGTGGTATTGATAAAATTACTACAGACATAGTCTTTTTTGTAAAAAATATAAATATATTTTTCAAACAAAATCCTACTGGGTCATAACAAAAACCATGTGGTGGTTGTTGTGCAGTTAGATAGAATAAAAAATCTAACCTAGAAAATGCACAAATGTCAAAAAAAAAAGATATTACCATAACTGTTCCCTTTTCTAATAATGTTCAATAACATGCGAGTGGACTGGGGTTTATACAAAAACCGACATTTCAGAAAACCGGTTTTCGAATTTTAAATTTACTAAAAAACCTGTTTTAACCGGTTTTCGAATTTTATATAGAAAATCAATTTTTGCTCGAATATCCTGTAATTTATCTGCAAATTTAGTGTAGTTTAGAGCAGTATTTAACTGAATTTATTTATTGTTCAATTTTATAGATAGTAAATAAAATTATTTTAATTTTAATTAGTCGAACTAAAAAATAATAGTTTATCTTGATTAAATAACTTTGAAAATAATTATTCGTTATTCATGCACCATTTTCACATATTAGAATGAAAATATTTTTATGATAGTGAAAGGAAAGTTTTCGAATAAATAAAAATAATACATTTTCAAATAAAAAAATCATTGAATTAAAATAAAATCAAAAAATATTAGATACATGTTAATACATACTTGTTATTATCAAATATAGTTTTAAAAACAATTAAGCTAAACTCGGGTATTGTCTGTTCAGAGCAATTTTAATTAATTAATTTTAAGCATTCTAATTGTTTTTTTGTTTAATAAAATATGACTTCAAAAAACTGAGAACGTCTATCGAATTGCTACTTAGACGTGTCCTTTGTTTACTCACAAAATTTCCTGAAATAGAAAATACTCTCATACTTGCGACCAAAATATGCTTAATTGTTTTCAAAGCTATATTAGATATAATAATTCTAAGTTTTTTGTTCTTTAATTTGTGAATTCTAGGGTTTAAAACTCTTTTATTTAAGTTAGAGGAAGTTACTTCAAGAAGACGTAACTGACTGATTTAAATTAATATATATACTGGTATAAAAATCAAAATTAAGATATACAAAACCTTTGTGGAAACCATTGCAGACTGATAAGATATGAAATGCTATTGAACCGATATGATTTCAAGAATCAAAACGCTTTCATCTATATTTTATATTTGGTTATATTTGTCATTTTCCATGTACACAGTAAAAACCGACCTTTTTAGGTAAACAACCGGTTTTCGACTTCCATAATTTTCGCCAAAAAAAACGGTTTTTAAATCGGTTTTTGAAAACCGACAAACCCTAGTGTCCATCATCTTCCTCTTTCTTGCAACGACCGCTTTGGAAATCACTGGTTTAAATGATATTAGGTTAATAATTTTTAATTCAATTATTATTAATATTGTATCTGTATTAAACAGATTGTATCATTTTATTACGCTAGTTGTTATTATATTTTTAATACATTTCTTCAAATATATCTTCCTCCTCCTGCACTGGCCTAGCTCATTCTGATATTCAAATAAGATACATCTTTCGGGGGTATAAGCCGTCGCGTTCCAACAAGAAAAATGTGGGGTTAATATAATGCTTTAAAGCATCGTTATTGTTAATACTAATAGATTTTTTTACAGAAAAAAGCTCGAGATAAGCTCCTTCGCTTTAAAATAGGTGGTATGAGTCCTTTCAGCCGTTTCTTTATATTTACGAGATATGTCTGCATTGTTGCAAAAAGGCTAATGTAGCAATAACTTATAAATAGGGACGTGAAAGGGACGTTTGACGGAAATTTTTACTATTTTATACTTGCGATTTGTTTATGCTTATACTGCTCAAGTTGTATCAATTATTCTTTTTTTTTGTTAATAAATAGATGTTGGTTGGAAAAAATACCGATGTGTTCAGGGAGTGTTAAATTAAAGATACACTAGTAAATTGAAGTAAATGAAGATAATTAATATACTAGGTGTAAATGGTATTTCACTTTAACGTAAGTTATTTGTATATTCTGATATAAATATAAAAAAAGAAAAAAGTGCATGAGGTTCGCACGCGATTGAAGTAAAACTTATTTGCTACTGTACAAGATGGCACTTGTAAAAATAAATATATCATATAAAAATTTTAAATAATGTTTATTAGTAATATGGTAACACTCGTGATGCACACATTTATTAGTGTCAATCATTATACATATTTATATAATGATAAATTATAAAACATATATTTTTAAATGAAGTAATTGCTGATTAATAAGTTCTATAATATTCGTTCACACAGTAGATTATGTTAAACAACGCCTAAATAAATATTGTTCTTGCAACTTCACTCAATATGTAATAATTATGTTTGAAGAACTTCATGTAATTAAAATTAACATACATTCATTGACTGCTTGTATTTGATTACTTTTTCGCTGGCGATATAATCTCATTCTTTGAACAGCTGTAATATCTGTCTTGTCTAAAAAATATTTTTCATTTTAATAACTTCAAAGATTTATAGAAACTACAAATATAAAAATAATTTCTTATCAATAAACTTACTAATCATTATTCTTATTAATCAATATTTTCAAGAAACAGGGTAAAATATTCTTCTGATTCAGGCATTTTTCATAAAATCAAGTATTGTACGACAATGTAACTTTAAAATGTTTATTTATCTATGCCGATTTCCTTGCTGATATCGGTACGCATACAACGTTGATGCCGGTAAGCATACAACGACAGTTCTCTATTCACATACACCACGACTAATCACAATCCGGGTCGATTGAAATGATTTCATCGAAAACGAATGACGTACAGTTCTGCCGTAACGGACTTCCGTTGCATTTGTACGGATTTACGTCCTAGTCGCGCCTAAAGAAGTTTTACTTCAATAATAGACTTAATATTATGAATTTATTATTATTTACAAGAATGACGAGTTGCTCTAGGAACTTATGATATTTTAATTTATTTAGTTTATATGTGTTGAAAATCTAATAAAATAATATTGGGTACAAATAGTTTTATAAATTTCAATTTATAACAATGAATGTCAATAAATAAATAGGGTAGAGTGGGGCTAAAAGGTTTGGGTAAATTTACAAAAGATAAATTAAATAAATAGTTCTTCCAACTCTGCCGATGATTTTCGTGTCTTAATACCAGATCAAGGTTATTTATGGAGTTATTTCTGTAAAAAATGCACCCATGAAATTTATATCATGCATCGGTTGAATAATGTCGTCTTTTTGCAAAATTACTTTAAAATGAATATAAGACGTTGAACTTGTTTGTTTCCTAGCCGTTTCAATTAACCTCGTCTATGGGGCAAAAAGAACCAGGTCACAAATTTTTGAAAAAGGAAAAAAAACTCATTTCTACAATATTGAATTAACAGGGAGCTTTTACTAAACATAGTCAGACTGTGCTTTGTTTAATGTGTGTTATTTGTTGTCAAATTGGATCTTTGTGCCCCGCCATACCCTGCACAAAATAATCCGCAAATAAATTTTGGCTAAATAATTAATTGCCGAATGATAAATTTCCTTCAAGTATTTACGATCAAAAAATATCATAAAATCGTTTAACTTTTCTTTTCTTCCGAGTAATAAAACTTAAAGATATCCGTATGTCTCGCATCATCTTTCGATTTATAGATCGCATCGTAATTTTAATATCTTCAATAAAATATCAGCCAGGGGAGTTTTTTACGAGGTGTATAAAAGTTT